AAAAAAAAGGGAAAATGCAGCACAACCCCAAAACGCATCTCATTCTCATTCATCTCCTTCAGTTCTAAATCCCAAACCAAGACCTAGCGAAAATTAACCTCACTAATCCGCAAAATTCAGCTCACTAATCTGCAAAGGCCAAACAATATCCACCCCAAAAACTCAATTTCGATCTCATTCCCCAATTTCTAACCCCAAAACTGCTTCAATCCTCCGCCATTGATGACGTCTGCCACTTGGTGCTCGAAATCGTCGGCGAGGACGAGGACGGAGGCAGCGATCGTGCGGTATCTGGAGGTCGACGAGACGGTGGAGGGTGAGGTTGGGGGTTGTGTGAGCGTGGGGGAGCAGGTGGCTTGGCCGAGGGACAACCACTTCTCGATGGATGTCCGGTCGCCGTTCACGCCGGTGCAGAGGCTCAGTAGAGACATCATCACGTCGGTGCAGGGACGACTCTTTCATGAGCCAGATGCAGAGCCACGAGACGCTGGCTAAGTTCCTCCAAGCCGCAGATGGAGATGGTGATCTACGGCATCGGCAACATTGGGGCTTCTTAGTGAACTGCCTTCTATTCATTCGGGCCGTTGGATGCTGGTCGAGCTCACTGTCCTGATGAAGAGGAGGTTGGAATGGATTGGGGGTATCCAGGTGTTCGCCTGATCATCTAATCGAATACTGCCACGTTAGCGGAAATGGCTAATTGTGGGATCAGAGGATCGGTAAAGTGCCCACAGGCTCTCGACCTTTGAGACCGGCTGCATATACGCTTGCTCGTACCTGTTGCTCATGCTAATGCCCTCTGGGATGAAAAATCACGGCAAGGAGCTTTAGTTCACGTGCACGGCTTGGGTCAACGTAATTGCCCAATAGAGGAAGTCCCTGCTGCCGAAAATGCACTACGTCTCGCCCAATAGAAGAAGCCCCTGCTCCTGGAAATGCACTACGTCCATCCCATATCAGTTGGAACATCGACCAATTGACCAGCTCAGGCACAAAAGCAATGTATATAGTGGCGACAAAAAGTTGCACAGGCTGAGCCCCCGCTTATAATGGAGACAGTCGAGTACATGCTCAACGTGGAATACAACATGTTCAGCCTCATGAGGAGCAAGGAGAATTTCCACCTCATAATGTATCTGCTTTCCTGGATATGGGATTTGGTTAGGATGAGGCATGATAGGTTGAGGAGTGTGACTGGTTAGGATGAGGTATGATAGGTTTGAGGCTTGTGGAGAGAATTAAGTGTAAGTATTAGTATAAGTTCATGTTGAGATAACAATGATTAGTTGAGCATTGAAATTGAAGTTCTACATTGTATATGCATTGTGTACTCTGTCATTTGTTCTTTCTGGTTGTACAAGCCTACAAGGAATATGACATATTGGATTTTACTTACAGATTGTGTAAAATGGTTGAGTGGGATTGTGTCTTATTTTACTTGCAAGTTAAGGTGGTGTGGTCGAGGGACAGCCACTTCTCAATGGAGGTCCAGTAGTCGGTCAAGGTGGTGCGGAGGCTCGCCAGAGACCTCATCACATCCATGGTGACCGGGCAACACAGGTAATGGTTGTATACAATAGAAATTAAAAAATTAAAAAGAAAATTACAATTTTTATTTAGCAAAACAATTAGCGGGATTATATTTTTTTTGCGCTCAAAATTCGAGATTAATTAGGAAATTTTTTATCTAATTAGGGTGGAGAAACAAAGATTTTAATGATTTCGTATCTCCGTCAATCTCTCCCTTTTTATTTATCTCAGCAAATATATATATGCACAATTAGGTTTTACTTAGCACTACATCAAAAATAATAGTTGCTATGCATCCCTACAATCTTTTCCTGGTGAAGTTTTTCTTAATCGATCATGTATAAAATTTGTGTTTTTACAGATTTTATATTGGCCCACCTTTATTTAGATTCTTTCTTTGTATAAGCATAATAACTGAGGTTGAAGGTGTAATATTTGTGTTTCAAATTATTCTTCGTTAGATGATCGTCTTAGTAGGGAAGCTAATCGTATGCGTTGTTTTGTCTCGGTGTTGGGATAATGGTCATGATGCTGTGAAACTTGCTATGTTGCACTTGCTTGCCGACTATTTGATGGGAAATGAGCCGAGTGCTTTTTTATCTTAATTATTTAGCTATTATTGATAGTCAGGATTATAATACTACTCATGGGGGAAGGAGATATTTGAGTACTTTTTGTCGCATTTGGCTTGTCGGAAAATGACCTTGAAAATGTCTGTCTATAGTAAAAATGTGTGGTCTGATTATGGTTCTTTAGTGGTGGTTTTATGAGATATGTGTTGAAGCTTCTGGTGTTATATGTTTACGTGTTGATGTCGTTGATTATGGAGATACCTCGGATGATAAAGTGGAAGGTTGTGAATATGTTTAACAAAGAGTTTCTAACAAGTTATAAATCTGATTCTGTTATAACTTTGATTGATTTAATATGCTGTTTTGGTGCAATATTCAATAAATTTATGAGCAAACAACTCTGATTATAATGAAATCATGATATGTGTAATACGTTGGAGTCTGAGTTTTTCTAGTTGATGTCTGAGTTTTTCTAGTTGATGTCAAAGGTGCATTATTTTTTTAGTGAACTTTTTTGCAAGTAAGTTTTATTATTGTTGTGCTTGGTTTCGCTTATTCCGAAGGGTTTCCAATATTCCGAAGGGTTTCCAATTACTGTTGTGCTTGGTTTCGCTCATTTGCCAAACACATTGATCTTTGTGCTCATAAACTTGTTTACGCATTTGCTATATTAAATCAATTAGATTTTTAATGTGTCACATTTATTATTTGTAGATTATTTTGTTTTATCTAATACGGTATTTATTTTTATGTTATAGTATGTAAATATTCGTCCAAGGGCTGATGAGGTGGGGAAGATGGACCTGGATCTTTTATTTGTTGATAAAAATGAATTTTTGCTTGTTGATAAAACGATTATGTATTTCTTAGCTCTTCAAAATGGGTTTGCATTGATAAAATTTTTGTTGTCTTATGTAGATTTCTACGAATGGCGCCAGGAATTCGTAAACCTAGAATTATTTCAAAAGCTTCTCTACAAAGCATGCTTAACCAAG